AGGTGTAGGGGATAGAGGATGCCATAAGGTTCCCAGCTCCCCCTGCCCCCAGCTGGTAGGGATCCCTGTGTGCTTTCTGCTCTGTTCTGCTTGCCATGAGTGGGGGAGGCCTGGGTGAGTTTGGTTTATGTTTCCTGTGACAGAATGCTGCCACACCAAGGAGGTAACTAGAGGTCACACCCTCTTTTTAATCAAGATCACAATCTCAGTAGAGGCTTCTCCCTGTCATCTTTTTATCTGAAGTGACTCAGTTTCCCTCAGTTTCCCCACACTGAACTAGAGTGTGGCCCTTAGGTGCAGAAGGGGAAATGCCACAGGATAGAAGGTCGGGACCAGCAGACCCGCAGGAGCAGAGGGAGCTCCTTTGTAGTGACATTTGAACACAGGCCTCCCCAGCTGGGGCTAAGAGCCACCATGCACAAAGACAACGTATGGCATCTTTCCCTGAGCTCACTCACCCTCAGCCACCTTGTGGAACTTCTGTTCTTAGAGAACAGTGGGCTATTGGTCTTATCAGGACATCCACACTTAGGCCGGCTCCAAGGTAGTGTCCACACTTATCCCTGTGCAAACCATGAACCCCTCACGTGCCCCCTTGAAAACCATACCAACTCTGCACCTTTGCTGTCCATCAGCTCCGACACCCTGGCCGAATGGCCAACTTCTACGTGTCAGACAAGCCCTCCTTTGTGGGTTCCTAATCCCTGATCCTCAGGTACTGGTGATGGTGCTATCGTGTGTGTTGCTAGTTCTCGCTACACACCTTCACGACTGTAGATGTTATAATCCTATCTCTGAAGCTTCTGACCTGGTAACTGGACACATACTAGACACATGACATACTCCTTAGGAGTCGGCACTAATGTGGAAGTACCCCTCCAGCCCACACCCTCTGGATTGGGACCTGCCTTCAGATGCAATCCAGGATGGTTCACAGCACCATGAGGTCCTGAAAAAGGCCCTAGACCAGCTGTTCTCAACCTGTGGGTCACGATCCCTTTGCAGGTCACACAACCCTCTCACAGGAGTTGCCTAAGACCATCCAGCATATCAGATATTTATATTACGACTCATTACAGTAGCAAAATTATATGAATAGATGAAAATGAGAATAATGTTTATGGTTGGGGGTCACCACAAAGTGCAGAACTATACTAAAGGGTCCCAGCATTCAGAAGGTTGAGAGCCACTGTTCTAGATCAATGGCTCTCCACACTGGCTGTGTACCCCCAGTAACTAGCTGGGTCACTGAAGCCTCCCCCAGATGATCTTACTGGAGGCTAAGATGGAGAGCCTGCTCTAAGAAGAGAAGCAGCCTGAGGACAGGGTCACTGAAGGGCACACCTACTCCCTACCTACCAGCCCCCAGTCTGCAGCAGGATGCCTGGCAAAGAGCTATGTCCACAGAATTCCAACCCAAAAGGCCCCAGGCCTGTCTCCAACAGTAATGAACCATTAGTGACTGCAGTATCCATGTCCCAAAACTTGCACATTCCTGACTATAATTATGCAGACAAGTAATTCAGAAAGGGTCAGATTTAAGGGGGAACAGAAACTGAGACAGAAAATATAGATGAATTTTAAGAAACTGTTTCTCAGGCCTGGAGAGATGGCTCAGTGGGTAAGAGTACTGGCTGCTTTTGCAGAGGACCTGGGTTCAAAGCAACACCCACATGGCAGCTAACAACTGTCTGTAACTCCAGTTCTAGGGGATCGACATCCTCTTCTGGCCTCCATAGGCACACATATGGTGATATAAATACCTGCAGGCAAAACACTCATAAAGTTAAAAAAAAAAAAATTGAAGAACTTTCTCACCAACAGATTAGCATTGGTTATACAAGGAGAAAGAGCTTGGATAGGACAGGGTGAGGCAGGATACGAGTGGCCTGGGTTGTCCCTGAAGCCCCAGGCTATGGGCCCAACTCCTTCAATAGAGACCACAAGAACACAGCATTGTTCTCTGAAAATGAGGCCAAGCCTTTCCTCTCATTTCATAAAGAAGGGAACTGCCAAGGCCAGGCCAGGACACCAGTTAGGGACACACACAAAAAAAAAGAAAAAAGAAAAAAAAAAAGAAAAGAAAAAAGAAAAAGAAAAGAAAAAAAGCCCAGCCTCCACTTCCGGATCAGTCCTCGCCTGCCACACAGCTCTGTTACAAGCATAAATGTCTCTGGACTGGATGTGGAGGCAGGGGATGAACTGTTTTCCAGCCTTGACCCTCCCATAAAGTAGTGGCACTGAGTGATGAGGGCCATGCATCCTGGAGCAGCCAGACCTGCATTTGGATCCCAGCTTTGACAACTTCCTTATTAGAGTTAAACCAAGGATTAGAACCAACCTTGCTCCTTGTAAAAGCTACGTGGACATAAAACGGAATAATGCATGCCCAAAGTAAGAAGAATTCCAACTGTGTGAACTGACAGAACTCCTGGAGTCACGTATCCCAGCACTAAGGAGCCCTACCTGCCACCCTGTGGTATTCTGTGGGCCAAACAGGGGAACAGGTGTAAGGGCAGTGGGAGAGGAAAACCCACAAAAAAGTGGTGTTGTTGCTACTATGCCCAGTGCAGAGGCTTGTTCTGGTCCCATTGCAGGACAGCACCATGAGAGGCATGTAACGGTTACTCAGCCAATGGGTGCTAGTAACCCCAACTCAATGAGCACTCCCAGGGGGGTGAGGAATTCGGTGCCATAAGCAGCCAGGCAGGTAAGTAAATAAACCAAGCAGCTTCCACACAGGGACCCAGCAAGCTGCGAAGCTCTACCCTGCCTAGAAGTTCAAATTCAGTTTTCTTGGGGGGAGGAGGGACACACCCATCATGCAGCTGGACCAAGACACCACTTGGCAACTTCTGACACCCAAGGGATTCTGGGTCTTCTCACACCATGTGCTCTCTTGTGCACACACTAGTCATCTTATGTGATATGATTTGGTCTTTCTAAGTCCACCCTGAGCATCCTGAAGATGAAGGCTGTCGCTTACACTGTCCAGTCACCTCAAGGGGCCTAGAACAGTGCTGGCCTCATGGACAGCACTCAGTGAGCAACTGTTGAACTAGCTCACCCTGAATGGCAGCTCCAGTCCAGTATCCCCAGCATCTCTGAGATCCTACAGGCTGTGGAAGGTTCTCTGCCCCTGACCCCAGGACCAGGTGGCATTAATGCAGATGGGCTAAGGGATGGTGACTTGATCAGAGGACTTGCCTTGTGGGTTTTTCTTTTTCTTTTGATTTGGAGTCTCAGTACAATGCCCAGGCTGGTTCTGAACTTCTGTATTCAGGGGATCCTTCTGCCCCAGCCTCCACAGCGCTCTGTCTAAAGGTGCACACCTCCAAACCCAAGACAGGTTTTTCTCAACTATGTTTGCTTGTGAGTCACCTAAGAAGACAGAATGCTAGAATATGCTAAATATTGGTGCAAGTTTTTTTTTTAAAGTCTGACCTCCACAACCTGCACCCCAAACTTTCCTGCCACCTCTCAGAGGCAGCATAAAGCATAAAAATTATGAGATTCAAGAGTAACAAACAAGATGGGCATGGTGATGCATGCCTTTAATCAGAGGTTAGCCTGGTCTACAGATCAAGTACCAGGACAACAAAGGCTACACAGAGAAATCCTGTCTCGGAAAACATCACACACACACACACACACACACACACACACACACACACACACACACACACCATCTGCCTGCCAAAAAGAGCAACAGATAGAGGCCTAGCCTTGTCTCCTTCGCTCACAAACTGTAGAATGAATCTGGGCAGGTAAGATCTTTCAGGAACTTTGCTATTTTTAATCTGTAAATGCAAATAATGATAGTCTCCTCAAAAGACCATAATGCAGTTTAAACACCCTCACGTATACACAGTACTGAGCACTTCACAGCCACCCACAGTCACCCTAGTCTTGTGGTTACAGACCACTTGACAAATGGCTGCTGCTGCGCTTCTGTGCAGTGAGAAGGGCTGTCCCAAGTGTGAAGTACACACCGGAGTCCAAGAAGTTAGCGCGCGCGCGCGCGCGCGCACACACACACACACACACACACACATAGTCAATAACTCTGTTAACACGATTTTACATTGATTATGTGAACTATTAATTATATTCTGAAATATATTAAATAAAACATTAATACATTATTTTCACTTGCTTATTTTACATTCTTGAGATGTGACTGTTAGAAAAGTTTAATTAACAAACGTGATTTGCATTATTTTTCTTTTGGAGAGCCCGGGGTTAGCCTACTGCCTGACACACAGGAGCATACCAAAAGGTGGCTTCCATGCCCCACAGTGGGGATGTCAAGGGCTGCGCTTGCGTCCCATTCCTCTGGACACATCCACGCCCTTCGTTCATTTATTTAGTAAATATTTATAGTGTCTACCCTGCTGAGATGTTATGGGTGCATGGAGCAACATCAGGTGAGGTCTTCCTACATGCTGGGGCAAGCAGACATCAATCCACACTTGAAACAGTTGTAAAGCTACAAGTATAAGCGCTCTGAGGAACACCAGAGCGTTCAGAGTGCGGCACCAGGGTCAGAACTCGGGACCCCGGAAGCCTCCTGAAGGAAGACTGGAAGGATGAAAAAAGTTTACTAGACTAGACCGAGGGACCGATTCTGAGAGAGGCCAGAGAGAGGGATGCAGAAGGAACCTAACCAGGCCGGGGAGCAGCCTGAGTCCAGGGAGGGCGGCGAAGGACCAGATCTCCAGGGCCCGGAAAGAGGGGAGGGTGGAGACCGGCCTCGGAGCATCCCAGGCATTGCAGCGCTGCGGGAGAAGCTGATGAGAGCGGCCTGGATCGAAGCTGGGCGGCGGAGAGGGAAAGGAGAGGGCCGGTATCGACGGCAGGGGGATGATCGGGCCAGCGCCGTGCCCGGACTTGGAGCTCAGGCAGCCACTGCCCTCGGCCTCAACCCCATCCTCGGTCCCAGGTCCCCCATCCTCAGTGCTCCGTCCCTCCGCCCCCGGCCCCGCGCGCCCCACACTCACCCGGCGCCCGCCGAGGCCCAGCTCCGCGCCCGTGTCCCGCCGCCGCTCCTCTGGCCTCGTCCGCCCCGCCCTCCTGGGGCCCCGCCCCGCGCAGGCCGGCCCGGGCTCCTATTGCTCATCTTTGCCGTCAAGCTAAAAATTCTTGCTTCCATTGGGGTGTTTGTCTGTCACTAAAGAGGAGGCGGGACTAACTGAGGGCGCGGGCTGGAGCTACGCCGGCCGGCCCCGCCCCTCCGCGGAGGCCTCTTAAAGAGACAGATTGCCTTTCTCCTGCAGGCTATTGGGTCTGAAGGAACGAGATTTCCCAGCAGACACTAGAGGCTGCTCCCCACCCAAACTTTTTTTCTTTTATTTTTGTACACACCCTACGGGTGAAGGAGGTTCGGGGGAGAGCTCTGGGTCCTTGCGACACATTGTTGTAAGGAGCAAGCTGTCCTCTGGTGACGCTCACCTGATCGGCTCAGTGGTGGGAATAGCTGATTTGGGGAACTGAGTGGGAGGTGACAGTCGTGTCAGAGGCTATGAGCAGCCGAGATGGAGCTAATTATACCGGCACCCAGGCCTGACCGTGGGCGCTGAGCAGAGGCAGAGGGGTACAGCTCAGCTGTGCAGTTGGTAGGGATCCGTGGGAGGTGGCGTTCGTCACCGCACCTGCGGATCTAACAAGGCCGGGCACCGCGCCAAGGACTCACTCCTGCCATCTCCCTAATGCTCCTGGCAGGCTGGTAGGGAGGGCAGTATGCAATCCCCAGTTGCACAAGAGAAGACTGGGGTGGGGTGGGGGTCCTATGGGACCAACTATACAGTCGGAGATAGACAGCAAGACACTATCTCCCTGTTTAATTCCATTTTTTTAAAAAATCATTTCTCTTAGCACATCCTTACGACAATCCCAGAAGACAGACATCTTGTTATCCATTCTGTAGAGAAACAGACACCGAGCAGAGAGAGGAAATAATGGCCACGTTTCATGTGGTATTTCACTGTCTTTGAAGCAGTTTTATAGGCACTGTTACACCAACTCCTGCAAATGTTTTAGAATAGAAAAGGATTGTTATCAACTGGTGAATAGGGTGGTACCCAGGCAGCAGAATTACCCTCACAGTCACAGTGCTAATAAAGCCCCTGCAGGGGCTGTCAGCTCACAACACTTCCAATAGGTCCACATACTGCTTGCTTCCAGCCAGTCTGTCTTTGTTCTAGCGAAATGCACCATGGATAAATGCGGGTTGCCGTGTTCCAATATAGCTTTATTCCCGAACATAAACAGTGGCCTGGGATAGCGTACCCACCCTTGTCTACATCACCATGCTGGATGCCAAACCCCTCCGCCGCTCAATGGGAGTTCATAAGACCCTGTCAGATTCATACTATTCTCATTTATTGTCATTCAGAGTGTTGTGAGCATCCTCATTGTTGTGGGATGTTAGTTTGTTTGCTTGCTTATTTTGAAACAGGGTGCTGCAGGAATATTTAAACAAATATCTACCCCACCCAGAAGTACCAATAAGTTCGTTGGTCTCACTTACAGAACACGGTTCTTAGTTCGCTTTCTGTTGCTGTGATAAAACATCATGGCCAAAAGCAACTTGGGGAGGAAAAGGTTTACTTGGCTTATACCTCCATGGTCCATCACTGAGGACAAGCAGGGCAGGAATTCAAAGCAGGAACCTGGAAGCAAGAACCGAAGCAGAGGCCATGGCGGAACACTTCTTGCTCAGCCCGCTTTCTTATACAACCCAGCTCAACCTGACCAAGGGTAACACCCTCCCCCCACGACAGTGGGCTGGGCCCTGGGCTGGGCCCTCCCCTCCCACATCAATCACTAATCAAGACTCTACAGCCTTGCTTATAGGCCGATCTAATGGAGGAGGCATCTTCTCAACTGAGGCTCCCTCTTCCCAGATGACTCTAGCTTGTGTCAGGTTGACAAAAACCAGACATCACAGTGGGTGAGGGATTATTTACAGAAGTGGGGGGGGACCCCAATAGCCACACCACCAGAAAGACTCACCTCAGCACAGATGATGGCTTCCCCATAGTAGCACAGAGTCCCCTCTTCCACCAACTTCCCACCCTCTATACTCCAGTCTAGAGCCTGCAGAGCCCACAGGCCGTGTGCAGTTCGAACGAAATCCCATACAACTGACTGAGAAGTCTACCACTCCTCATGATGGCCTTCAGTCAGCCTCCTGCCTTGAGCTAGCCCAAATAGGATGCCAGGCTCTGTCCTCTGGCCTTTTCCTAATACCGTGGGATGTTCTGCAGTTACTCTTCTGGGCAACATCCCCTGATTCCCTCTGCCTCCCCTTTTACTCCAGCTCTTGAGCACCTTTCTTTCCCTGAACCCCCAGGGTACTTACTCAGCAACCTTTAATATAAGTTAGAATAGAACTTGCTGGAAATCTGGTTCCCCCGGAGCAGTGACTTGGTGGGACTTGCTAGCTGTCCACCAGAGGCCCTTCCCCTGCTTCTGTAGTGACATGGCTACCCCACCCTTACCCCAGGACTCACTTCCTAGCCTCAAAGACCGAAAGCCAGCTGGGTACCTCCTTCTCAGCAGTGGACACGAAGGTGTGAAACCTCAGGCTGAGATGTGAAGTCAGCTGGCACATCCTCCCTATCCGTCTTCCTCATGGGCTGCACCCAACCTTGACCCTGTGATGACCATGATGTGCAGGGCAATGACAGAGCCGCCATGCGGAGAATGGTCCCCAAATGGTCACCTGAAGTAGAAAGCCCTCCACTGGCCCAGAAATGCTCAGAGACAGTTGCCTTGTTCTTTGTCAGTGACTTTTGGGACTAGATCGGTCTCAGAGTCACTGTGTAGCAGAGGATGACCCTGAACTCTTCCTGCCCCTCCTGCTTCCACCTCCTGAGTACCGGGATTACAGGCATGAATCACCACACCTGGTCTATGCAGCCTGGAGATAGGACCCAGGGCCTCCTGCACACCAGACAAACGATCCACCAACAGAGCCCCACCCCCAGCTCTGTCAGTGACTCCAAAGACATTCACACAACTTTGAGAGGAAACCTCCTTAACGTTTGTGTCTCCAGTTCCTCTCCCTGGTCCTGGCCATACTCAGCACACACTGGTCCCAGGAACGATCATTGTGGGGCTGGCAATTCTTTTCCTTTTGGTCTTTGCCTATGGGTTCTTAGGAGTATGATATTTAAGGGGGTTTCCCCTCCAGGTTGTGTGAGTCCAGGATCAGCTCTTTTAAAGCTCACTGAGGGAGCAGCACCATGGCTCAAAGGATAAAGGTGCTTGCCTAAGGAGCCGGGTTCAATTCCAGGGACCCCCATGGTGGAAAAAGAGAACTGACTCTTGCAACTCATCCTTTGATCTCTACACTTGTGCCCTGACACACCATCAATGCATCAATGTAGCAAAAACATTGTCTAAATCGCCACAACAGAGCTGGGGGCGTGGATCAGATGGTCCAGGAGCTATCTTTAGCAGTAAAGGAGCTTCCTGAGAGGCTAGTGGCTAACTCACAGGGTGACAGGAAGCTGCAGTGACCAGAGACACTTTGAGAGCTCAGGTTGCCAAAATGAATTGATTCTGTTCCTTTCTCCCCCTCCTTGAGCAGAACTTTCTTTGATGAGCGTTGGAGTCCTGTCAGCCAAGTTTGGGCAATATTTCCTCCTTTTAGCTAAGCTGCCCTGGAATGAACAGCTCAACTCAGCACAACAGGACCCGTTTCCCAGCCCTGCCCCCATCATGCGACCCCAGCTCAGCCACTGGGCAGCCAAGATCAGGTCCCCTGTCTGTGACTGGGGTTGAGTCGGTGGAGTAACTCAGCTGAGAGCCGTGATAACATGAACCCAACACACGGAGGCAGCGTAAGACTTCTCTGCTGTTGTATGCCCCCCAGAAGAGGTTCTGGACCTTTCTGAGACTCAGAGCAATGGCATAACAACAGTACTAGCTTCAGTGGATAGTCATGATAACTAAATGAGACACAGTAAATATGGAGTGTTTGACACAGTGCCTGGTACATGACAGGCCCTCAATTAACTAGAAGTTTTCAATTTGTGTGTGAGCACGTGTACACGTGCCCATGTTTGTGTGGTGTATGCATATGTGCACTGTGTGGTGAGTAAATGTGGGGGACAGATACTGACACTTGATGTCTTCCTAGATTGCTCTCTACCTTATGTGTGTGTGTGTGTGTGTGTGTGTGTGTGTGTGTGTGTGTGTGTGTGTGTGTGTTGGGGGGGTGCCATGGTGTGTGTGCATGTGGAGGTCAGAGGACAACTTTCAGGAGTTGGTTCTTTCCTTCCACAATGTCTTCCAGGGATCAAAGCCAAATCCTTAGGCTTACTCAGCAAGTGTCTTTACCTGCTGAGCCATCTTCCTAGCCCTGTTACCTTATCCTTTAAGATAACATCTCTCACTGAAGTGAGTCTTACTGTTTTTGGCTACAATGGCTGGCTAGTAAACACCAAGGATCCACCTGTCTTTGCCACCCTGCTCTGGTTGCTTGTCAGCTTCTCTGATCTAACAGGTTTTCACCCCCTACATCTGACTTCCGAGTCTTAGTTGGTAAATAGAATGATAGAGGCTTAGTTTAAACCTACATACAGCAGCCTCAGCAGAGCCAGGCTCATGGAACCAGAAGTCTTGGCTGGCAGGGCACTGGCTGTGGGACTGTGGGGCTTCAGACAATCATTTAACTGTCAGTAGATTTGTGTGCAGCTGCTAAGCTGACAGAAAAACATCATTTGGTGCCCCACATTGGGTGCCAAATGTAGTCAGGCTTTCCTTTGAGCACCTTTGACACAGGATTTATTATTAATTATGAAAGTTTGGCCTTTAGCTTAGGCTTGTCTCTTCTAGCTCTTATAACTCAAATTAACATGTTTCTATTAATCTGTGTTCTGCAATGTGTCTCTTACCTCTCTCCCCTTCTATGTGTCTGACTTGTTCCATGTCTCACTGGTGTCTCTGCCTCTCTTCTTCCCAGAGTCCTCTCTCTACCCAGAAGTCCTGTCTAGTCTCTCCTGCATAGCCATTGGCTACTCAGCTCTTTATTAAACCAATCACAGTGACGCATCTTCACACCATGTAAACAAATGTTCCACAACAGATGTATGCTACCACATTGGGCTTTTACATTG